CCTTTCTCCCTCCCTCTCTCTCTCTCTCCCTCCCTCCCTCCCTCCCTTTTTCAATGTGCAATGAAAAGAGTATTTCACCCAAAGGTGAAGATCAGTCAGCAACAGCACATTTACAGCTAGACTCCCAAATATCTTGCCAAGTTTTTCATGTACTTCTTCACCATGCTTAACCTAAGCTGTTGTTTACCTTGGTTTCCATCACTCCCAGGTAAGCTCTGGAGATATTTATCATAGAATCATAGAGTCATATTTATGTCCATGTTCATTTATTTGACTGGAGATAAACAAGAGCCCAAGGTCTGCTTGGTTTTGGTGCTTACTCTGGTTGTTCAGCACCTGTGTGGAAATTACTCCCTTTATGAAGAATCTGTCTGGACCTCTTTCATCAGAAGAAAAGCCTTTAGTTATTAGATACCTAAAAATCATACCAACCTTGCTAGAATAAGGCTTTGAAAGAATGAAGGCAAGACTGCACAGGCAGGAATGACCTGGGTTTTCAATACAGAAAGCCATCAGCTAACCTGCCGTGGTCTCTAGCATCTCCAGAGCACCATTAGCATGAATAAATCAAACAATGCCTGGGAGCAAGGACTGGCACTCTTGTCAGTGCTGTGACTTTATTAAAAGGATTCCTGATGTGTTTTCATGGCCTCAAGTTGTGCCAGGGGAGATTCAGGTTGGACGTTAGGAACTACTTCTCTGTGAGAATGGTCAGGAGCTGGCACAGGCTGCCCAGGGAGCTGGTGGAGTCACCGTCCCTGGAGGTGTTCAAGGAACATTTAGATGTTGTACTGAGGGACATGGTTTAGTGGGAAATATTGATGATAGGTGGATGGTTGGAGTGAATGCTCTTGGAGGTCTTTTCCAACTTTGTTGATTCTATGACTATATGATTTTCAGCCTAGAACTGTGCTGAGCAGTTCTTGGGCAATTCAGTTTTTAAGACAAGCCAGGGACCATTCCTATCCAGCACTCTGGTCAGCAGCTCTGGAGGCTAAGGGAACTGAGGCATGTGCACACGGGCTTGTCCATATCAATCTGCCTTGGTACCAAAGAATGGTCCTACATTTAATTTACTTGTATATCTGTAGGCCAGGTGGCTAGTTCTGCTTCCACAACCATGTCCAACTGGAGAGCTCATTGGATGGTTTAACAGCCTTTACATTTCCAGCCTGTCTTATGCACACATTACAGTTCACTGTAACAGAGGAAGAACAGTTGAGAAGATGTAGAGTATGATTCACTTGCAATTTCCACATCACTAAATCATTAAAACCCAGGAAGACTCTTAAGTCTCTTCGTGTCTTTGGCTCTCATTAAAACTGCCAGCCCAGGCTTAGTTTGTGCCATAGGGTGAGGCACTACAGAAAGGATATAGGCAGAATTTAGCACCTCCTTGTACCAAAAGCAAAGTGCTGGTTAGTAAACTGCTATCTGCCCTCCATGCCATCATTTCATCTCATAAAGTCACATCGAATCATTTCCTGCTGTACTTCCATTCTGATTGTAGAGCCATATTTTTCATTTACTGATTAATGTATGGGATTAATGCAAGAATGACAGAACTCTCAATACATTGCTGATGTGACTCGTATCAGTGGTGTGGTGCTCAAGGATTTCTTCTAGCTATATCAGGAAGATGCATCTTGTGTATTTTTTTACTAAATTCTGATGGTTGTCTTCTATGGGAACGTGCTTTGTTCAGGTGCTTAAATAGGCAGCTAGGATCATTCTGCAGGCTGCAAGCTGTAGATATGTACACATGACCATGTGCCACTGTACTGTATTAGAAGAGAGAGGTCTTTGCTAACGGGGCATTTTACATCCCACCCTACAACGTGTATCTGTGGCTTTGCACACACAGCTGTCCCTGCTCAGGGGTCTGCCTCCTGCTGTAGTGGCAGGGACTGCACATCTACCTGGACAGAGACGATCAGGCAAAATCTTCTTCTGATTTAGATTTGGTAAAATCGTTATTGTCGTGTATTTGTTAACTTGAGGGCTTTCTGAGACAGAATTGAGGCAACGCAAAACCTTCACCTGATACAGCTGCAACCTGCAGCTGCCTTCCACGCTCCACCTGCGCCCCACAAACCACTCAACACAGAGCTTTGCTGCTATGAATCCTTTCACCAGGAGATGGTGCTCCTGTCCCGGCAGTCAGCTCTGCTGCAAGCCGGACCCGTCCCGCTGCTCCCGGCTTGGTGATGGTGCTCGCTCCGCTGCAGCAACCCAGCAGCAGATGAAGCAGGGGGTGGCATGTCCGTTTGCCCCCCGTTTGCCCCCCGTTTGCCCCCGCTGCCCCCCACATCTCATCGGTGTCCCCAGCATGACTGGTATGGGACCAGAGCTCCCAGCTCTCTCATGCTGTTAGCTGTGCTTAGAAGGGATGGATCCACCTGTTGATTCCTGCCCAAAGGGATATTCCCAACAAGGAGAGAATGTTTGTCCTCTATTTACAGACTTGCTTTGCCAGATCCCTGTCATATAGAGAATTATTGGGTTGACCTTACGGACTTCAGCTGATGTAGCTCCACAGGGCTGATCTATAGCTGAAAATAGGAGCGTTGAATTGAATATGAGAGCAAAACTCATGTTTGACAAGGATACCAAGATATGGGAAGATAACCTAAAGGGAAAATATCTCCCAGCTGGGTTCCTTGGTTAGCACTGTAGGAACCACCTCTGGAGGTCTCTCTCCCCTTCTGAAAGGTAAGAATCATAGAATCATAGAATGGCCTGGGTTGAAAAGGACCACAGTGATCACCTAGTTTTAACCCCCTGCTATGTGCAGGGTCACCAACCACTGCCCAGAGCCACATCCAGCCTGGCCTTGAATGCCTCCAGGGATGGGGCATCCACAACATCCTTGGGCAACCCTTCCAAAGGGCTTTATTTTTCAGGGATGGCTGAACTCTTGGCAAAGTGTTTATCTAAAATCTCCTTAGCTAGAGCATAGTGGTCAAATAAAAAGTGGTGGACATTCAACTCACAGCAGTGTGTGCTCTCTGGGCCTGAAGCAAAACATCCTACAGGACTTTGGATCCATCTGATGTTGCATGCATTGACTTTGTACCTTAATTTGTCTTACCTTCCTTGGCTATCCCCCCCCCCCCCATGCAGACAATCAGAAAAAAAATCAGCTTGGCTTCAGTTTTAATAAGTTTTGGAAAGACTTGCTGGGAACATGGTTAGTGGGCATGGCAATGATGGGTTGATGGTTGGACTAGATGATCCTAGATGTCTCTTCCAACCTCAGTGATTCTATGATAAGATTTGGAAAGAAAATGCTGCTGTTCTTGGTTACTTGCTGAGCTGGCCCCGCTGTCACTTGTAGCCATCTCAATAAAAGAAGTTTGCTAAGTGAAGCCCCAAGAGACTTCTTGTGTAGTCACCACATGAGAACATATTCTTCCAAATAACCACAAGCATTACACATCGTGACCACTGCAAACTTGCTCAAGACTTGAAAATTTAGTGGAGCCCCGCTGACTTGGCTGATAGAAACAGCCACAAACACCCCAGCTTTGAGGCCTGGGGGAAGTTTGTCACTACAGTTCAATTTTGTTCCATCAAGCAGTGCTGATGAAGGGGAAGGTGAACAGCTATGGAGACAGAGGGCTCTCAGAACATTGCTATGGTTCATGGTCATTCCTTAAGGATCTCTTTTCTGCCTCATTTTCCTCCTTTGGGACCTGGTGGGATGCTTTGTTTTGGTTATGTCAAATAAATCCTTCTTCCCCATGGTGAAGAGCATCTCTAGGGGGGCCCCTCTGTGCTGGGTGAGTCCCATGCTTGCACTTTGCCCACAGGTGAAAAAGAGAATTGGCAGGGCAGAGCCTACCCTGCCTGGGACTCAGCCCTCCATAGAAACAATTGGGGATGTGCTCCACGTGTAAAGGTACCCTTCCTTCCAAAATCCCATCTAGAGCTGTGTTGTGGAGAGGCCGTGGTGATCCCTGGTATACAAGCATTGGCATGCCATACTAGAGATAGGTTCTCTAGGTTCTCTCTTTTACTAGAGACAAGTTCTTGGGGAAACAGAGACAGATGCGGCCCTTTAGCTTCACCTTAGGTTCTAGACTTCTGGTTCATTCAGTATAGAATCATAGAATCCTTAAAGTTGGAAAAGATCACTAAGATCAAGTCCAACCATCCACCCATCCCCACCATGCCCAGTAACCATGTCCCACATCTTCACATCTCCACCTGCAGAGACAATGCCTCCATCACTCAGCCCCCTGGGCAGCCTGTGCCAGTGCCTCACCACTCTTTTGGAGAAGAAATGTCCAACCTGTAATGATGGGACATCTCGGGGCCTTGTTTGTCAGGTCGTGCTGGAGTTACCAGGAGGATTTGTAGGATTAGGGAGAGATAGAGCAGGGAATGGGGCTGGAGTCAGTCTCATCATGCTGGTTGAGAGACACTGTGGGCAATGGGGAGTGCCCTTGAGAGGAACAAGCCTCCTCGCTGGTGAAGTCAAATGGACATAAAATCTCCCGCGGTTATATGGGTGTTTTTTCTGTATAAACTTGCTAATTGAGTTGTAAAATAAAACTACAGCCTTTCCTCTCCAATTTCTGCTGCTGCAGCCGCGTGCTAATTTGGTTTTGGAAGGGGGCTGGTAGAAGGTGGCCCTTTGCCAGCGTGAAGTTATGCACAGAAGGGTTTGCACTGGGAGAGCTGGGAGCGTGTGCTCTGAGCAGGGCAAGAGCTGGGGTGGTTCAGGCAGCTCCTGCAGCTGGGCCGATGGAAATTCAAGAAAACCCAAAAGGGTTTGGATAAAGCTGCAATGGAGAACAGATGGGAAACTCCGGCACCTCCATAGATGCTGGGCAGTGGAGAGGATGGGCTGTGGGATTGCACAGCCAGGCAGGATTTGCTGTGTGCACACGTGCCTGTGGGGCCATGTGCCGATGTGGGGATGTGTGCCTGTTGTGTGAATGTGTGCCTCAGTGAACGTGGCACTGTGTGGTGCTGCTCTGGGGCTGGAAAACTGGAGAAAAAAAAACTCAGGTGCTCTGTTTTGTCCATATCATCTTAATTTTTAGCAGATAGACTGAAAAAATGCAAGGGCAGATCCAAGTGCCACGAATTTGGAGGAGCCTGGGGTTCCTCGTGTGTGGAATCACTAGAAGGGACCTCTTAGAGTGGGAAGGGAGCTCTAAAGGCCATGTGGTCCAGCTCGCTGCAGTGGACAGGGACACCTACAGCTCCATCAGGTCGCTCAGAGCCCCATCCAACCTGACCTTGAATGAATGTGTGCCTCTGTTGATACCATTTTTCCCCTTTCACCATTCTCTGTGAAATTTTCTGCTTTGGAGGAATCCAGGAAGGAGGTTCCAACACCATTGTACTGGGCCCAAAAGTTCAAAGATGGACTTCTGAAGCTCATCACATCCTTCCCCTGGCCCTTTCATTCCTTTCCTATTGGGAAGAGAGCACATGAGAAGCTGGGAGCTCCACCTGGGGCACAGCCCATCGGGCAATTCTTTACTCCGAGAGCAGGGAGGCATTGGCACAGGTGCCCAGAGTGTCTGTGGGTGCCCCATCCCTGATGGCATTCAATGCTGGGTGGGATGGGGCTCTGGGCAGCCCGATCTGGATAGGGGCAACCAGCTCACAGCAGAGGGTTGGGGCTCGGTGATCTTTAAGGTCCCTTCCAAATTACTCTGTGGTTCTATGGTGCCACTGGTGGAGGTGAGATCGGGACAGGATGGGTCTCTTCTGCCTTTCTGCATTGGGGAAGGGCTGCTCTGAGCGCTCAGCCTCTGTGGGATGGTGATGCTGGTTGGCATTAGGAATCCATGGGCTGATGGAGCACCTGTAGGATGACAGCAGGAAGAAACGTGAGAGGCTGCAGTGATAAATGCCTGTGAGAAGAGTTTGGGTTTTTTGTTTTTTTTTGGGGGGGGGGGGAAGGGGGAGAAGAGAGGGAAAAAAGAAAAAAGAAAAAAAAAAAGCTGTGCTTGTTTTGGCCAAACATTTACATTCCTTCCAATAAATCATCGCGGCACTTGTTTTTGTATTTGCGGAGAAATCGCAACAGACATAAGCAGGGACTTAAGAGACTTGAAATAACATCCCGGTAAATAGCCCACGTTGTTATTTTAATCGAGGCCCGAGGAAACATCTGAATTTTACCAAGGAAACCCTTCGTGGTGCGGGTGGGAAAACATCACCCCGCGTCCGCCCGGGGCTTTGTTCCACCGCGGGGCGGAATTACCGCTCGGAGTCCGCTCCTCGGGGCCGCCCCATTGCCCAAACGGAGTGGGGGGCTCCCTCCGCATCGCGGGCCGGGAATCCCGACCCGAAGTGTGGGCTGCGAGATAGAGGTGTGGGGCGTGAAACAGAGCCGGGGAGCGAGGGCAGCGCTCCAAAGGAAACGAGCAAAAGCCGGAGGCGCTCCCTGCCCAAAATAAGGCCCGACGAGAGCGACCCCGCAGCTCGGGGAGCCGCCGGAGGGCCGCGCTCCGACCCGCGGGACACCGCGTCGGGAGCACTGAGCGCGGCCGCGGGACGCGGGCGGGGGGCGGACCGGGGCGCGGGGGCCCCCCCGGCTCTCACCTGCGGCCGAGGGCGGGGCGGGGGGCGGGCGGCCGGCAGGGGGCGCCGCGGGCGGCGGCGGGAGGCGGACGGCGGCGGCGGCGACGACGGCGGCGGCGGCGGCGGCGGGCGAAGACGATGTTCAAAAGCGGGCGGGGAGCGGCGGCGGCAGCAGCACAGCGCCGAGCACCGCGCCGCCGCCATGCGCCTCCGCGCCGCCGCCGCCGCCCTCTGCCTCTGCCTGCTGGGCGCCTGCCGCCTCCGCCGCGGGCCGCAGGCCGCCGCCGCTCCCCAGCGACCCCCGGCAGCCGCGCCTTCCTCCTCCTCCGCCTCCTCCTCCTCCTCCTCCTCCGCCGCCGCCGCCGCCTCCCCCTTCTCCTCCCCGCCGCGGAGGGACGGGGCGCTCCGCAACGGCACGGTGGTGCCGCACCGCTACATGGTGACCCTTTACCAGCGCCTGGCCGCCCGACGAGGCGCTGCCGCCCGCCCCGTCGGCACCGTCACCGGCTTCGTGGAGCGGCTGCGGGGCGGTGAGTGCGGGGCCGGGCGGCGGGTGGGGAGCGCACGTCGGGGATGTGCGCGGGACGGGGATGGAGATGGAGATGGGGATGGAGATGGGGACGGGGACGGGGATGGGGATGGAGATGAGCGGCGGCTGCGACGGGGCGGCGCGCTCGGATGGAGCCGTGAGCGGGACGAGGCAGAGCGTTGGGATGGGGCTGCGTGGGGATGGGGCTAGGCGTGAGCCCCGCGGGGCAGTGCGTGGCTGTAGGGTGCGGGTATGGGAAAGGCTGGATGGAAGCAGGCGCGGGGCAGAGCTCCGATCCTCTCCCAGCCGTGGCGGTGCCCATAGGGACGCGCGCACCGCCGGGATCGGGGATGGCACTGCGGCTGCGGTGCCCCGCGTTGGGGTTGTGCCTCTATGCCCCCTTCGTACCCGCGGATCCGATGATGTTGAGTTGAGCGGACACACCGATCTATTGCTTTTTTTTGCCCATGTGCACTTACACGCACTGTGTCGTCCCGACAGAAGTTTTCGGGGGGTGAAAAAAATAATTAAATCAGACCTCCCTTCCCCCTCCCCCTCGCCCTCCCTAGATGGAATACAATGGAAAACCGAAGGGAAGGGCAGCCCCCGGCTCCCTCTGTGCCCGGATCCCCGCAGCCTCTGTACTCTGCCCGGCGGCGGCACTGAGGTTCAGCGGGGGAGCAGCCGGGCCGGGGCGGGGAGAGATGCTGCGGGGTGAGCTCTACGAAGGGATCTCCTTCTCCGGCCCCGCGGGAGCTGCAGATTTGCTTTAAAAGAAAATAATAATAATAATTATAAGAAAGGACGGGGAGAAAGCTGTTTCCCAGCCGGAGCGCGGCTGCGGGTTGGGGAGAGTGCGGGGCTCGGACACGGCAGCGTGCAGCACTCCGGTTTCTTATTAGAGAGGAGAAAAGAAGAAACCCCAGACCTCATTCATCTCCCACTCTCTCACCCCCTCGAGCTCTTCTTTTTATTTATCCATTTCTTTTTAAATTAACATCTGGTATATAAACGGTGCCAGAAACGGTACAAGTCCGCGTTTGGGCTTTGCGTGCACCCCGTTGGACTCAATGATCTTTATGAGTACCTTCCAACTCCGGGTATTTGCTGTTTCTATGAAAAAAACAGGGACAACTTCAGCTTCTGGGAAGCGTCCGTGTCAGACACCCCGAGGCAGCACCCCGTGCCTGCAGGGGACAATGGGATTTCCCCCTTTTCTTTGCTGGGGGGACGCGGGGAGCGGGAGGGCACTCGCTCGGAGCCATCCCTCCCTCCCCTCCTTCCCTCCCCGTTCTTTTTCCGCCCCTGAACGCGGTTTCGCCGCTGGAGCAGAGGGCTGTTTCTCTCCCGCCGGGATGCTCAGCCCTTTGCCCATCGCTCCCATTCACTGCCTGTCCCGCGCACCTCCGTGACGATCGCTCGGCTTCGCCTGGCTGGGTTTTGATATTGTGCCTTTTTTTTCCTCCCTTCTTTCCTTTTTTTTTTCCTCCCCCTTCTTTTTCTTTTTTTTCTTCTTTTTCCCTCTTTCCCCCCCCCTTTTTCCTCCTCTTTTTTTTTTTTTCCTGTATTCTTTTTGTTTTTTTTTTTTTTTTTTCTTTTTGCATTTCTTTTCTTTTCTCCCTCCCAGATGCCTCCCCATCCGCCCCCGAGCAGCGCTACTTCTTCGACATCTCCAGCCTGCCCGAGGCAGAGGAGGTGACGGGCGCGGAGCTGCGGGTCCTACGCTCCCTCCCTGCAAACCGCAGCCTGGCCCTGTCCCCCGAAGGCACCTTCCACCACCTGCTCCTCTCCACCTGCTCTGGCCGGGCAGGCGAGGAGCCCAGGCTACTGGACTCCAGAGCGGCCGACGCTCTGGATGCAGGCTCCAGATGGGAGGTGTTTGACGTCTGGGAAGCGCTTCGAGACCGCAGGGAGAGGCCCCCAAAGGGTAAACTGCTGTGCTTCGTGCTGAGGGTGGTGTCGGATCGCTCGGGCCGTCTCCTGCCCCCTCGGCAGCTGGGATTCGGCAAACCCCATCCGCAGCCCCACGAACGAGCACTGCTCGTGGCCTTCTCTCGCACCCAGAGGAAGGAGAACCTCTTCAAGGAGATCCGGGAGAGGATGAAGGTGCTGGGCGGCCCCCCCTTGCTGGAACCCCCTGATCCCGGCCGGGAGGCGTACCCCAAGCGGAGGAAGAGGAGGACCACCATCGCTGCCCGCTCCGGGGGCAAAGGCCATGGGAAGAAGGCGAAGACGCGCTGCAGCAGGAAACCCCTACACGTCAACTTCAAGGAGCTGGGTTGGGATGACTGGATCATCGCCCCGTTGGATTACGAGGCGTATCACTGCGAGGGGGTCTGCGACTTCCCCCTGCGCTCCCACCTGGAGCCCACCAACCACGCCATCATCCAGACCCTGATGAACTCCATGGATCCGGAATCCACCCCCCCCAGCTGCTGCGTGCCCTCCAAGCTCAGCCCCATCAGCATCCTCTATATAGACTCCGGGAACAACGTGGTGTACAAACAGTACGAGGACATGGTGGTGGAGACGTGCGGCTGCAGGTAGCAATTTCTGCAGCTCTTCCCCACCCCACCACGCCCCATTTGATATATAAATATATATATAATATATATATATACATACACATTTTGGTGTGTGCCTTTCCAAGAGCCCCCTGCCCCCAGGGGCTGCCCCGCAGGGATGGGGAAACCCTCTCTGCTCCTTTCTCAAAGTTTTGGGGCTTTCTGTATTGTCCTCGGGTTGGGGCGGTGGGAGCTTTTCTTTCTGCATGTAAGGACACCTCTTCAGAGCATCTGGGGAGAAGCAGAGTCCTAAGCTCCCCAGGGAAGAGCTGCTTTGCTTGGGTTCTTATTTTTCCAAATAATTGCTATAAAAAGGCCATGCTCCAATCCACCTCCCTTTGGCAGCAGCTCCGTTCCTCCCTGCCTGCCCTAAGGGAGCCTGCATCCTCTGGGCAGAGACATTTAACTTGCAAAGAGCAGAGCTGAGAGGGCTGCAGATTGTTAGGAAATGGGCTTAAATTGTGCCTTTGAACCCTGAGAAGCCTGGTATCAATTGTGGGATGCTGCCAGGTGACTTTCTTTACTGAGCTGCAGCTTTGTGGCTCTGCTTAGGTCAGGGATGGGATAGCTTTGGTTTTGATGATTTGGTTTTTGTTGGTGTCCAAGCTATGTTTATTTTTTTTCTATAAAGCTCCTCATCCTCAGAGATGTCTGAACAAAGGGCAGGCAGCCTCCCAGCCCCAGACCACTTCCTTGGGCAGAGGAGAGCATCCAGCTCTCACCCAAGCAACCCCCGCTGAGGCAATACGACGTCAGCAGGGCTCCCATCCTGTGTATCCCCACGGAGAGATACCCTGTGGGACAATCCCAGTGTCTCCCCATCCGCTTCCCCAGTGCTCCAGTAAACCTCATCCAACATCCCTCAGCTCTCATCCCATACCCTTAGCACAGGCATCAATCAGAGGGGGGGATGCTGCCCTGTGGTGTTCCCAAGCCCATCAAGCTTCCACATACCTGGCTCTTCGATCACTGATGGTCTCCAGGTAGCTTTCCTCACTGCTGAAACGTTTTTTTTTT